ATATGCACATATCTGACATTTTGTACAAGTGAATCAGTATATCTTGGGAAATTAATGAATGACAAGACAGACTTTTTTTGGAAGTGTTTTTGCCCATTTTATGAAACAATATAGAACATGGGAATAAACCCTGGATCAATTAACCATAAAGCCTGTTATGTGCAACAAACCAAACTCTGACTGTTTTCTGTCCAGCTCTCTCTTCCTGATCTCCCCTCCTCTGGGTCCTTCCCGAGCGGCCCTGTGCTGTAGCGGGCTGTCCGTGCTGATGCCTGTATGTATGATCGCTGCTCTCCACCTGTCATTTCATATCGCTTCCTCCGCCTCCATCAACCTGCTTCCAGCCCAGCAACCAGCCAACCAACCAGTACAAGCTTGTTGCTAGGGCAACGGCTGTCTAGGGGATACTTCTTTGGTTTCTCACACCTCCTTTCCTTCATCCTTCTTTCTGTCTCTTTCCTAGTTTCACTCTTTCTTCCTCTTTTACTCCCAATCCAACCTGTTGCCCAATCGACTATTGTTTTCCCCATCAATATGTCTGTCCGGCTCCGTTCTCACATCCGTCTCTCTGTCTCACTCCCTCATCCTGTCTCTCTTCAAGATAGACAGGTTGTTCTGATGCCAAATGATCTCCAAACTACAAAGTCCATTAAAAAAAAGAAAACAAACACACAAGCAAGTTTCCCCATCAAGAAACTCTATGTTTGCTACTAAAACTAACTCACATCAACATCAACATGATATAATGTGCTTGTTTGTCTTAATCAGTAATCATCTGTACTGCTTTACATGAATTAAATCAGTTACAGTGTACGGTCAGCACATCACATGGTGGTTACAGACAGGCTGTGCATCACTGCTGCCACTGGCATTTACAGGTTCACAGATAGCGCTAGGTCAGCCCAATGTGATCCTCCCTACGTCTTCACTCAAGGGACTCTGGTGTGTGTGTGTGTGTGTGTGTGTGTGTGTGTGTGTGTGTGTGTGTGTGTGTGTGTGTGTGTGTGTGTGTGTGTGTGTGTGTGTGTGTGTGTGTGTGTGTTTGTTTTGAGGGGGCACAATCTATGTATTCTGCACAATATATGCTTTATGTGTACATAGTGTGCATTTAATGTGCACTAATCTTAATATGCGAGGCCCCGCCGTAAATGGAGCGCGATTTCTGCCAAAGATTTGGAAATTGGTCCGTGCGCAATGCATTGTGGGGATTTTAAGACCGTGGAGTCTACACATGTGCAGCCTCGAAATTTCTCGCTACGAAGTACGCTGGCCTCGGTAGAATTCCAAGTATGCTTATGGAGTCAGATTTGGGTCAATATTCTAGCGCGCAAAACAAGCTACTCACGAGTGGAAAATGTGCATTTACACATGCATGAAATGACCCCCGCGCGCAGATTAAACCTATGCGCTCTTGCTCACTCGCGGGAGTGTCAGCCTCACTCGCTCGCGGAGTCTGTCTACGCGCGCATGAAAAGTTTCTGACACTTTGGGGCGGAGCCACTGGACTTTGATTGACAGCTGCCAGGAAGCCCGGAGTTGCCAGGTTTGATAAATGCCTGAACTACCAAGAGCCGAGGAGTGACAGCTGCAAGATCAGTTGGACGAGACTGAATGGTAAAGTTGTCCATAAAAAACTATTATATTCGTAAAGTGTACAGCTAATATATATAAATTAATTTGATATAAAAAAAATTACACATTAATTCTAGGAGCGTAATACTTTTACAAACACTATAGTAAACACTATAATAATAATATGCATTCATTATGACAACATCATACTATTACTATAGGAGTATTCTATAGTGTGTTCAAAAAACAACTACAGAAACACTATATATTATACTATAGTTATACTATTTAAAATAATATAGGAATACTACAAAGATCTAGATACATAGTATTACTATTGAAATATTATAGAGCTACTATAGCTAGTAAAATGGCACTACAGAAAAAACTATAGTAATAAAATAGTTCAATAATTCAATAATCTTATAGTATATAGTAATACTATAATTCATTTATAGTTCATTTCGTAAGGGAGGTGCATACAGCAGACAGCAGTTTTCGACAGATACAGCCCACTCAAAAATATATTGTTTTATATAAAATTAGCTGTACACTTTACGAATATAATAGTTTTTTATGGACAACTTTACCATTCAATCTCGTCCAACTGATCTTGCAGCTGTCACTCCTCGGCTCTTGGTAGTTCAGGCCTTTATCAAACCTGGCAACTCCGGGCTTCCTTGCAGCTGTCAATCAAAGTCCAGTGGCTCCGCCCCAAAGTGCCAGAAACTTTTCACGCGCGTAGACAGACTCCGCGAGGCTGACACTCCCGCGAGCGAGCAAGAGGGCTGTCTCTCTCGCGAGCGAGCGCATAGCCTCTCGCGAGCGAGCGCATAGCCTCTCGCGAGCGAGCGCATAGCCTCTCGCGAGCGAGCGCATAGCCTCTCGCGAGCGAGCGCATAGCCTCTCGCGAGCGAGCGCATAGCCTCTCGCGAGCGAGCGCATAGCCTCTCGCGAGCGAGCGCATAGCCTCTCGCGAGCGAGCGCATAGCCTCTCGCGAGCGAGCGCATAGCCTCTCGCGGGGGTTTAATCTGCACGCGAGGGTCATTTTATGCGCGTGTAAAAGCACATTTTCCGCTCGTGAGTAGCTTGTTTTACGCGCTAGAATATTGACCCAAATCTGACTCCATAATGCTGGACATTGGAACAGTCCTTCGGCGGAACTCGATGACGTAGTATGCTTGAAATTGTGGCCGTTTCTCAATCGCGAGGATGCTGGCTTGGTAGTCGCGTACTTCCAAGTCACTTCCTTCAGAAACGAAGCCAGTATGCTTCCAAGCCACGGCTTCGGAAAACGAAGAAGAATGGAACACACTAACAAGTGTGCCACTCTCTCTAACGGTTTCAACATAAACTGTACCGAAAATAAATACCTCACGATGTCTATCTAATTATGAACTTGCTTTACTTTCACGGAACATATTTTTGATGATAACAAACAAATGTAACAAAGTATTTACCAACACATGTTCTACGCCACTACATACTTACATTTAAATGTGTGCTGCATCGGTTCAGCCATTCTACGCAAGGGTTTGTGAAATTGGTCCGTGCGTAAAGCATTGTGGGGATTTTAAGGACGCGAAGTCTACCCATGTGCAGCCTCGAAATTCCCCCCAAACCAAGGACGCGGCCTCGGTGAAATTCCAAGTATGCTGGAGATTGGAACAGTCCTTCGGCGGCACTCGATGACGTAGCTTCCTTGAAATATTGGCTTGGAAGCCAGTTTCCTCGAGATTGAGAAACGGCCAGTGGCTCTGGAGCAGCCTTCCTCGACATTGAGGGTGTTTCTCAATGTCGAGGACGCTTGCTTGGTAGGACATGTGTTCCGATTCACTTGCTTCAGAAGCGAGGCAAGAATCCTTCCTAGCCTCAGAAAACAAAGAATTGTGGAACAGGCTAACAGGTGTGCAGGTGTGCTTCATATGCGAGGCCCCGCCTTAAATGGAGCGCTATTTTCGCCAAAGATTTGGAAATTGGTCCGTGCGCAAAGCATTGTGGGGATTTTAAGACCGCGGAGTCTACACATGTGCAGCCTCGAAATTTCTTGCTACGAAGTACGCCGGCCTCGGTAGAATTACAAGTATGCTGGACATTGGAACAGTCCTTCGGTGGCACTCGATGACGTAGTATGCTTGAAATAGTGGCTCTGGAGCAGCCTTGCTCGACATTGAGAAACACCCAGGGAAACACCCCCAGGGTTTCATCTTTCATGCTTCTCAGGGCTGTTTCTTTTTGTGTGCTGCCCTCTACAGGTCAAACAGCAGAACATCACATGGAGGTCTTTCTTTTTAAACATCTAACATTACTGGACTCAGTGCTAAGTGAAATTAACTGCATTTAGGCAATTTAGACTATAACAAAAATAAAGAATAATGAAGGGGTTTGATTAATGATTATAGACCTTTAAAGCTTTTAAACAAATACTTTTCTATCCCATATTCAGATTTCAAATATTTAAGCTTAAATTAAAACAAAAAATATTTCATTTCTTCGGTGAATGATATTTCTGCAGGTGCTGGACTCCTGCTGCTGCATTGAAGAATTCAAGGTTGCTATTAATGAATATCTTGAGTGTGTCACATAGTTAGTTACATGCTCAGTTAAAATTAATTGCAGCATATGTTTTAAATGTATCGTACATTAGTTTGACTCTTACAATTATTCTGCCTACATAAGATTAAACATGGTCAAATATTTTAACTTTGGAAAATTATTAAAGTTATCTGCGCCTTATAAAGCCTAACATCTTTGTCAGAATAAGTGTGCAGCAGGTCAAGTTAAACATGATACAGTCCTTGGTTAAACCCCAGACATACTGATGGACATTTTGGTAATTTTTACAGGTAAAACAAGCCAATTTGGACTGGACCCCATGTGCATTTAATACTGTAGGTTCTGAAAACACAGAAACAGTGTTTAACACACCACTTGACTCTGAAAAACGCAGGTTCAAACCCACATAGAAAACCCTAAACTACAGCTGAATGAACTAGCATCAACCATGTCTCCTGACTTTACTCTGTTTGCCAGGTATGCAGCCCTAGTAACTATTGCAAATATTGTAGGTATGTGGAAAGTATTTGTAAATGTTTGCATGATTGTGTTGTGTCTGTCTTCCTGCGTGGGAAGACACATGCTCTTAAATGTCTGTCATTCTTTTTTTCCTCTGCAGGGATGGGGGTGAAAAAGAGGCTAAAGGTGAACACTGCTGCGTAGGTGAGGCGGCAGGTACAAGCAAAATCAGTCTCCTTTATATTCCTAGGATTATAGCCAGCATTCGTAATAATACTTCTATAACCAAAGGCATTACTTTGATAATCCACCTTTCAGTGCATTAGTCAAAGAAGCATATTGCCGAACAGGTAAAGGAATGCCTGATCTTTACTGTGTGGTATGCGCCTGAGGTAAAAGACTCAAATGTCACCTGTGAGGATGTTCTCAGACATGACTTGGACCTGCACCTCCAGGGAGTGCGTCGAGGTGTACGTGATTTCAGCAGTGACGTGGGCCACCTCGCCAATGAACACAGGGAACAGGAACTCTGTCTTCTCCACCCGAACCAGAGCTGCCATACAACGGTCCTACAAAGAAGAACATGCTTATATGCTTATAAAGGAAACTCAGCACCTGTAAAATAAATCTTATTTGAACTAACTGCCCTAGTTCTAAGTCGCAGTAAAGAAGAAGAAACAGGAGAGGAATGCAAAACAAATATCTTTCTAATATAAATATTATTATTTCCATTTGACAAGAGTCAGGTCAAAGAGAGCTTATCGGCCACTGATGATGATGATGATGACCTATTTCTTCTGTAATTATACGTCCTTCTGGTTTACACAGGTTTGATTTAATGTGAAGTGTAATTTCATGGAGATACTGTTAAAAACTGATACAGTCTCAAAAGGTATTTGCACTTTATATGAGCTGCAAGAAATCTTTAATACTTCACAATCAAAGAATTGCCGACACCAGATTAAAATCCTGAACATTCTGAACATTCTGAACATTCATGATGTTGTTATTGTGAAGAGGGAAGATAGAAGTCTTAACAGCTTATCTTAACAATGTAGCATGAGTGATCAGCAGGATATAATCACATTGTTCTGAGTTTGATGACAATCAAGATGATGCAAGTCAAAAGTTGGTTAAAGTTCACCAGGTGAAAAGTCAAATCAAGACAAATCTGGGTTACCTAAAACTGAAGAAACAAAAACTAATGCAGCCATGCAGTTTGGGAATAAAAGATGCCAGGCAAACAAAGAGTTAGTTAACATTGAATGTTCTCAAAGGCAGTTGTACTTTAGCTTTGTAGCTCTAAATCCCTTAAATCAAAGCAATCTACCCACAACATGCTGGAGAGAGGAACAACCAGAGATGTTTCATGTTCATAATTTGCCTTTCAGTACTTATCAAAAAAGGGGTAGCTGTAAGTAATGATAATAATTCATTTATTTCTTGAGTCTGTCATGTTACGGTTTACTCAAGTGTTAGAAAAAAACTGGACATAAACAATACACTTTTGTTTACAACACAATATAACAGTTTAGGGCATGGGTGTACAAACTACAGCCCAGGGGCCAAATGCGGCCTGCGGACCATTTTGAATCGGCCCTCACTCAGCAAATTTAAAAAGTATAATGACTTAAGTATAATAAACTTCTGCTTGTCTTATATTGTACTTCTTAAATATATATGTTCAAATATATTACACAGTATTCATGTGTTAATAGGCCACAATTTCGAATAAATTCAGTCAATTAAAGTTGGAAACATGTTCTAACAAATCTAAGTTGATGAGAAAAAAGCCCAATAACTTATTTCCATAACAACCTTGAAATATACCCTTCATATGTCCTCTTATTATAAGCAATCTGAAGCTTCTGTTTTAAGGAATGAGCTGCTAACAAAATAAATGAAACCCTATGGAGAGCTTTGACGTTTTTTCTTAAAGCATTTACAAGTATCAAGAATAATTTACCTACATTGGATTGACTTTTCCAACTTATAACAGAACTTATGAGGCAAAATACCTCTAGGGAGTGGCCGAGCCCTTCGTATATGTTTCTGTATGTGGCCCTCGGTAAAAAAAGTTTGGACACACCCCTGGTTTAGGGTATGCTCTGCTGTTGTCTCTTACCCCGTCCTGTGTGTTGCAGTGTCGCGTGCCCACAATGCATCCTGCTTCCTCGATCATCTTGAGGATGGTGCCGCCGTGGACGTTGCCCACAATGTTGGCGTCATCTGGCCGCATGATCCTGCAGTGAAGAGACGTTTAGTTAGCATGACTGTGGATGGGATGGTAGGATTTCTACATGTGACTGAGCACCTTGTTATAAGAGTTATTGGAATATCTTCTGAAAAAAAGCACTATTAGTCCACAAATGTGTACCAGAAATGAAAGTAATCGTCATGTAGTATGGCACATTTATGAATCATTTACACCATATACATTAACGTATTATAAAATGTGGTGCATTAACACGGTCCTCACTTGAGTGTTGCAGCTGGTATTTGTGTTCTTTTTACTATTTGATATACCGACGAGTATCTTATCCTATAATAATACATCATAATGTATAAGCGTATTGATATTTCATAAAGTGAACTTAATCTTGCACATAGCTAGTGACTAATTCTGTAAAACAAATGTTATGCAGTGAAAAGTTCAACATTTGCCTACAAAATGAAGTGAGGTAAGAGTATAAATAGCATAATAAGATCCACCACTTGTTGAAACATTCTATGAAAAGACATAATTTAATAAACAGATGATATTTGTTGCAAAAGGCCAGGAGAAATATCTAGGAACATATCTACGGTGATAGTCACGCATGAGTTGGAAAGACCTCTATTGTTGAAGCATTTTCTACCTATTTTGACTCCAGCCTGTACTCTGCATGTCTATCAGATGACAACAAACAGTGTCATTACCACTGGCAGTGCAGCATGAGGTCATGTACATCAGCTGTTTCCCATTCACAGTAAGGGTTAAACTAGTTTTACCAGTTGCAACTTCATCGGTTTACATTCACATTCACAGATTCTTTACAGGATACGGCCAACAGAACAAAGCAAGAAAATCCACATTTTGACACAGCCTTATTAAACAGGAAGATGGCTGTTTTCCTTTTAAAAGAGTGCATTGAGCAATGGACTTGTTTTTTACATTTGGTTTAAGGAAATAATTAACGATAGAAAAATCACTACTCCTGCCAACTTGAATTATTTAAGGTTCTTGTATACCGTATATGAACGAGTATGGCAGACTTCTTTGCAAAACTTCCTCAAAAAACAGTCAGAGTTACAGTTGACGGAGGGGAATTTTTACATCGCAACACTAAAAAAGCGTTCACTGGTATCAAGAAAAGAGAAGGAACAATACACAGTTGTATTTTACACAATAAGTAACACTAAAGCAGTGGGATAAGTACTACTGAGTAAAACTTAGAGAGGCACTAGCCGTTTATTGGCCTTGCTGTTTTATAATGATATACGGCAATACAAATACAATGATATTTAAATTGTTATCAATATTATGATTATTAACATTTATGAGCAAACCCTTTCAAATATATTGCAAACCAATCAACAGCAGCACAAGCTACAACCTCAAAACTGTTAAGTGTATATCTCTCTAAGAGTCTGAATAACAATGAAAAGTTTAACAAAAAGGTAGTATTCATTATTAATAATTATTTTAAATAAACGTGTTATGACAAAACGTTGTATGGATGTTTGCGTGTGTGTGAGTGTGCATGTGTGTGAGTGTCAGAGATGAGCTACCTGCTGAGTTCATATTTAGAGTCCTGCTGAGAACTTGCATCTCCCCTGCCTCGCTGACTCTGAATGGCTGCTGTCACTCTCTTATCCACCTTATGTGCTGGCCTGCGAGGTATAAAGCAACTCATCTTGTCTCCCTCACTGACTATTTGTCTGTTCAACTTCCCTTTTGTATGATCTCAAAATTCGCAGCTTCTGACATTTTTGGGCCCTGACGTTGTTGTAATCTGTGATGTAACTCCGCCTTAGCCATCGCGACAGGTCAAACAGGAACTCAACACACCCACTGATGCCCAGATAGACAAAAGTCTATTACGATCATCACACCTAGGTCTCTGTGCCACATCTGACAGGTAGACTTACAAATATCTCATAAATATCTGTCAAGAGGCCAAGAAACACAAGCGATTCAAACTTTAAAGGTTTTCAAAGTTGTTGTTTCCTTTGTTTCATTCTCATTATTCTTCAGGAACCGTGTGCCTGATTTATCTTTTTCATAAAAACAAATGTACATAAGATTTGAGTTCTACAACAGCTTAGAAATCCAGAATTAGAACAACAGTGGAAATAGACCAAGATCACAACCCAAACAGCTTTAAAAGCCACAAAACACATCCGTTAAAAAAAAATCCACAAAAACTAGTAATAGGTGTTATCAATATCTAACTGACGATAAAGAAATAAGCTGACATGGACAAAGGCAAAGCCACCAGCAATACTTTAAAGCAGGGGAACGGAAAGAACAAAAATGTCCTTATTTCTGTTCACAAGTACTGTACATTCCTTTCCAAGATGATGGATCACTTCTATTACATACAGTGTAGCACAAAAAAGCCTTTCACAACGCCAATGTTAACCTCACAGGAGCACTGGGTCAACAATTCATCAATCATTTTCACATTAATCCTCATTGTTTAGAATGAAGTAAAGTAGAGCTTACAAATAACTAAAAAGTTATACTACTACCATAAACAACTGCATAAATATAATCAAAAACAAACACCGAACATTTACCTCTGTTGCGGAAAAAAGTGCCATAAACTATGAATTAGCTTCTGAAAAGCACGTCTTGGCATCATTACAGTCCCAGGTCCCATCAGCAAAAGCACAACGAAGTATAAAGAAGGGACTGAGGTGGGGGGTGATTTTGAAACACACACAGGATCAAACTGTGTTTTACCCTAGCAATCTTACATTGCCAGGTAAGACAGGTATTCGGCAAACACCCACAACTGATTATACAAAGACAACTCAATCCCAATCCTAAACTAAGCAATGAGGCCATTTGGTCATGGGATATCTGTGAACCTATGGCTTGAGTGGAGGGAAGTTTAGATTTGACGTAACTAAAGGCAGCCAAAAGCATAGGAGGGGACCGTTTGCAGTGGCTAAAAGCAAAGCAGGCTGCAGTACTTGTGGACACGTTGTAGGTGCATAATTAATGTATTGGGAGAAAGCTGCAGTTGCAGAGAAAGTGGCTGACTGGCAAAAGGTCCACAAAGTCTGAGGTTAAGATGCTTTTAATTTTGACTCAGCAATGCAGAGTGTAGGAGAAATAAAGAGCAATGTAACAGTAAAGCTATTTAAAGACTGTAACACTGATAAAATGGGTATTGATGATTGCCCAAAATTGTAAAAATAGTTAGGATTTTTTTTGTATAAACTGCATTGCGGAGTTACAGAAGGAAGCTAGAAGTAAAACCCTTCCTTTTGAGTTAAGGGAATGGTTGCAATGATCAACCAACCTTTGTACAAACAAGCTGACGAACTGCCTATATTTGACTACACACACCTTCCACTGAACTGTTTACACTAAAGGGATAGGTCACAGGAAGTGGGGAAATGCTTTTCTGTGGGAGGTTCAACGAAACAATAACATCCCCTCTTTAAAAAAAAAAGTTTGAACACTTTGACCATCACACAGCTGTAGTTCATGTCCAAGGAAACGGACATGAAAGGACGTCTCCATCTGCTGATTCATGATTCATCTTACAAACTGGTTTGACTATGTGGCTCATCTCATCTGTGGTCATTTAAAGACCCAAAACAGGTGAAGTAACATGAAGTCAAAAAAGGCCTTAGCTTACAGGAATATATGGTTTATTACCATTCAGTGCAAAATATGATGAAAGACTGTGAGTGGAAATTACTCTTTAGCTTTTCCTGCAATCGAGTGGAATATATGTTATCTTTCCTCAAATGCAAAGTTTGTCAGAATGTGGAACTAATAGCTGTATAGACCAGGCTTTCAATAAGTGCAACATACAAGACAAATGGGCATACAATGGCATTATAACTTAGAGCTTTTTTAGGCCGCTGGTTAGAGAGAATTTAAAGCTATTGGGTAAACTGTGGTGATATTTTTTTAATTAATCCAATCAAAATCTTTAGTTCTGACATGCTGAATACTACTACAACACTAAAACTTTCAGTGAAGAGTAGTTTTCACTTGAATTGACATGGATTTATTTTGAGAAAGCTGAGTGTATATAGCTATATGGCTCCACCTACAGGTGATCACAAGAACAACAAAGACTGCATGCTGCTGGGAAATGAAGGCGATTCACATCAAAGATATTTTAATTGATAACAGTCATTACCACATTATTACACAGTTGACTCTATTGCTCCCAGTTTGCTTCCTCTGCCTTTTATCTATGTATCTATTAATCCTCAAGGCTCAATCACACCTAATTTACCACCTCACCATACAAATTATTTAGAGGAACAACCTCATTAAAGCCCACGCCATTACATACAACTTTCAATATACTTTCAGTGAAATTATGTCCTTGGGAGTTTAAGCGTGTGTTCTACCGGTGCTAACCGCGTTGAGGTCATCATGTATCATACGACATGCGACATAAAGGACTGCACCTCTGCCGCGGGACCACATGCAGGCTAAATAACCGGAAAACACACCACTTCATTTCACATTAACTAGCCAAAACAGGACATGGTTGAATACTGGCAGAACACAGTAGTAATGTAACAGGACACGAAGAGGATTATCTGGTTATCAGCCGGGAAGGAAGGACACCGGTAGTCGCGCTGTTTCCGTCATTTGTCGTTCAACACAGCACGGTATTAGCATGTGAATGCTGCTTGCACATGTATGTGTCGTATCAAACGTCCTACCTGCATAATTGAAGAGAGGATGCTGCCTGCACTACCGACATGCTGGTGGCGATGAAGATGATGATGGTGAGCTCTTTGTTGGTCTCGTGTTGCAGCGGGATCCTGTGAGAAGTGAAGGGGCAGACTCCTCCGATCCACCGGTGTCTGCTGGCTTTGAGAAATGACTCATCCGGGGGATAAGCACTTGGACTTCACAGAAACGCAAAGAGCGTGTGTGTGGCTAAATTGTTTTGCAAATAATGTTTATTCAAAGACAACCACTAAGCCTAAAAGTATTGGCCTGTGCATTCCAAAGAGCTAATGGGTAAGACAGGATTGTGAAACGGAAATAGACACCATCACTATGTCGATATCTACAACCATCCAAGGAGGGCAGCAGAGACCGCACACACTGCATTACAATAAGGGCAGGGGCAGTGACCGCAACATCCATCCCGAGGTCACACCGACTAACGGTTTTTATTCTGTTCAGTCTGCCTCACAGATGTTCCTCACGGGCTTTTGTTCATTAAACAGATAGAGGATCCATATAAGGACAAATGTTTAGCATGGCCCTTCGCTAAGGTCCAGTTTAAAGTCTGGAGATGCTTTAGTTTCCATGATCTTATTGTTGGAAGGAGACTCACAAAATGTTTTCTGTTGCTTTTTAATACAATGCATCTTAGCACAAATTAGTTCGTGTGTGCGTTTTGCTGTTTGGTTTTTGGTGTGAATTAGGTGCCTGTATCCTTGTGTTTGAAATGTGCCAACTAAATAATGCTTTCCATATAAGGACATCACTTTATGGCTGTGCGTAAAGATTCCATACTTAAAACTAATATTCTTGAAAATTCTGGCAAATGACCATAAAGTGTGAAGAAAACCCAACACAATATATTACAACTACATTGTAGTTTTATTTTTTCTTTAAACAACATATATACAACATTTGCTTTAAATAGCAAAAATAAAACAAATCCCAACAGAGATACTTACATTGACATAATATATGTCTACAGGGTTCATCTGCACAGACTCAGTACTCTGAAGTCTTTCGTGCAAATTCTTACAGACTGACCCTTTGGGTCTTACAGGGCTGTTTTAATGGCCCTTAATCACTTAGTCCGCGAAGTGGACTAAATATTTACCGTATACATACATGCAGATTTAAAAAAAATACGACTGTCTAAACTTGTCAACTTATACAGGACAAAAGACTCGCGCTAAACGTAAGTATATAATACTCAACCGATTCGATTAAACGATGAATTCTGGCTTTTCATCAACGGAAGCGAGGCGGTGAATCACTGTGCATATTTACAAGTGATACTTTCTTGACATGCTGCCTACATATGAAACACTTTACAGTCTTTTCACAGGCTTTAGGGAGACCCCGCCATCAGAAATCTACCAAGGTCTCCACATGGAAGCGCTCACTGCCTGTGGGCAGGGATGCACGCGGCTGGGAGCCACTGCGCTGCTGCTGCCGCGGGACTGGCTCTCCAATCTGGAGCTGAAGCTGGATTTGAGGCTCAGGAGTTTCTGCTGCATTTGAGGGAGAGTCCTGGAGCTATGAGCGCAGCAGTTCAGGCAGGTTGGGGTGACTGTGGCGGAGGAGGACTGCTGAACGAATTCGTTCACCCGCTGACACGCGTCTTGATCCAGGCTTGTTTTGGGAAGCAAAGTGGAGACGCGCTGGAGGCAGGCTTTGAAGCCTTCTCTGTAACTGTCTGCAGTATCTGAAAAGACAATGAAATGTTAGTTTCTTTGTTCGAAAATGCCAAGAGTTCATTCTATGTATAAACAAATATCAATTAAAGCGTTAAACAAACAGAACCATGACTTACTTTTCGTGCTAACAGGGGGAATTTCGCTGAGGAATCTCACAGTCATTTCCAGGATGTCAGCTTTCTCAAGCTTGGAGTGGCGAGTCTTCTGGAGAGAAAAAAAAGCAAATGTTAAACATATGAGCATAAACGTTGCCTTGACATAAGCATGTGTGTAATGTTTTTTTGTTTTGTTTTTTTAAATGTATTGAAATAAATATAATAACTTACATCTATGCCAGTGAGGGGAATTATGAGGTTTTTCAAATGGTTCAGGCTGTCGTTGATACGAGCGCGCCTTCTTTTTTCCATCAAAGGTTTCATTGTCTGGAAAGAAAACACAACACAATTAGAATACATTCATCAAAATTAGGGTAAAACATCAGAAATGTTTTTTAAGATAATGAAGCAAATTGCAGGGACTTCGCTTACCTTTCTGAGCTCGAGAGCCTCTTTTCTTTTGGCCACAGTGAGCCTTGGAGAAAAAGATGGGAGAGTTTCGCAAATCATGTTTGGAGACATTTTCAGTTTCTTCTTTGTGCCAGAGAAGTGTCAGAAGCAGAAGTTGGAGAAGATGTGTCTCTAACGGTCAAGGGCTGCAGTATATATGCAGGGCCATGGCGTCGGTTTACGTGCGTCATGGGTACGCCCCCAAGCCATTTTCTGTCCGTGTGTTCGATGGAAACACCACAAAACTACCAAATGTATCATGATACCCATCTGTCTGCTACCCTAATCCACGCATAACAACTGCAGTGCGTGTCTGCTTTATGATCCATAGACAAAATAAAACAAATTCTGCGTCCACAAGCTAAAGAAATGTGTGCGTAAAGATGCTCATGTTTGGACGCACCGAATGCTCATTCACAAAACACCAATCCTGCAAACTTTACATTTTATATCATATTATTTAGTACACAATAATGTTTATAATTTCACAAATAATTGACAGATAGGTTGTAAAACACGCATAAATATATAGCATTTTGTATAAATATAGTGCGTAATTACGCAGTGCTCATACGTTGTTGGTAGCCAAATATAACTTATATAGCATTCATTTATTTTGAGATCCCACAACGTAACACACGAAGCTTCATTACAAATTACATTATTATCCTCAGAACAATAATCTCACAGTTGGAATCCTTGAGTGTGTCTGCCTGCTAAATTAGGCACATTTGTGTTACAAGCTGAGGTTCGACTATATTTTATTGAGTGTAATTTGCCGAAGTTTAAGAATATATCCTTAACATAAAATATACTTAAAAACAAACAACAGATATGCACACTTTAAACAACAGGGTGCAATACATATTTTATTGGCATAGGGGGCAGGCTTGCGTGTATGAAAAAGTGTCCATAGAGACAGACTCTTATTCCAATCTCATACCCAAGCCACGCTACTTTAAAACAACATCTGCTCTTAGATTTTGACAACAATAGTTTTGCATATGACGTTTTTCATGCATTTTCTGCCCGGGGGGAGTCTCTACCTGTAGTGTGTTTCCCGCTGCTACCGACGCCTCATGTAGAGCGGTGGGGGCTGAAAACAGAGGGTGGGTAGCGAGATAGCGTGCACCTCAATCACAATAGCCACCGTGAAATATAAAACGAGCTTTCTATGGGTTTTAACTCTTAAACATTTTAAGTATTTCACTGTTTCCTTGTTGATGTGGTTTATTTAATAACCAACCATCCTGCATGGCGAAGTATGATTCAAACTTTATATTACAACTGTGAGATTTTCTGATTTTAAATAAAAAACTGGAGAGACATGACAGCCCATCAAATGCCACTGCACTCAGGGGAACCACGCGCGCCGCACGCGCCACGGAGACCAGATGGCTGTCTGTTACCGAGCCTTCAACTCCATCCCCAACCCCACCCCACATCCATCCGTCCATCGACCCCACCCCCCACACACTCCTCCTGCAGCACACTAGCATCATAGCAGCCTGCATCCATATCTCAGCCACACACACACACGCTTTTTTTCAACTTTACACGCACGACACATGATCTCCACGTAGTTTTGGCGTGGATGCCCCATCTGCATGTTTCTGATGGGTCCATGTTGTTGTCCAACTGAAATAAAGCACTCTCGCCCCCCTGTTTGGAAACTCTGTTGCAATTGTCTCCCTCGGCTTGACTCATGGATATGTTAGCGTCCAAGCTTTCTTGCAATGCGTGTTTATCAATATGATATGGTGATGACGAGACACAAAACTCAATCTGTTGGTGGAGATAGAGATGCTGCTCTGGAAATGCAGATTATACGACTCCGAGGACAAGGTTATTGTTGGAAGAGTTTTACATAAAATATAAAATAGTTTACACTGGACCGCAAACATTGCATTGAAAATCTATAAGAACATTAAGCTTTGATCTGACATGAAACCTCGCAAAACAGAAGCAGAATTACAAAATTACAATTACTAAATTCAAGAATGTAAAGCCAAACTCCTGAGCAAAGAGGCTTGGATTTCACATAGAGACTTGTTACAAATCAGTCAATGTATATTATTGTATACTAATAAATATATGTTTATTCGTATGCTGTCCATTGTTTCTCCGCCCTGCATTAGATGAAGCTTGATGTTTTCCCTTTTAAAAGAGCAGTAGGATCTGATGAATGTTTGAAACCATGAACATGGAATTGTTGGCGGATATTCAGCATAATTTAGGATATTTTTGCGACTTGAAATTACAATTTTAAAAAGTCTACACAGTCGAAATGTGAAGGTTATAATCGTGTAGACAATATTTTCTGCTTCAACAAAGCCAAGCGTTGTCCTGGGGCACACTTGCTGCACGCGTCCCTGACGGCCCCAGTGGGATGGACGGATTGGGAGAGGAGGGGGGGTTGGGGGGAGGTACACTTCTCCTCCGTTTTTCTCTTACGGTTAGAGTCCTCTTTTGTCTTTTCAGGCAAATTCGGCGTCAGTAACCCATCTGTGCAGGCCGGATAACAGGGAGCCTTTGTCTGAAAATGTTCCAACACTTCATGGGAATTAAGAATCACATGTGGGTTGTGGGATGGGGGAGCAACAGCAAGACAGACTCCACCTAACTTTTGCTTAAGCGTGATGTAAACTGAGAGAAAACGGCCAGCTTCGAGGTTGTTCTCATGAGTCTCAAACAATGGACGACGGTTTATCCAACAACACACGTTTTCTTATATGTTATGAAAGCAACTCGAGCACGACGTGAATACGTCAAGACAATCAGGTCTGCACTTGTAGGAGTATTATATTAATAAAATATACTTATTTAAGAAACGTTAATGAGGCCACGTGTTTTTCAAGTGAATATCCTTTGCAATGGTCTTCCCTTTATTTGACTGTTTTGCAAGAGAAGTCAAAGTTATCCTTCATGATAGGTCACCTGAAATCTTAACGAATTATATCCATTTTAACAATCTTGATTTTAATTATCATGAGGAAGACTCTCTGTCACTCTTAGATGTCTACTCTTAAAACATATTCTTATT